ATAGATGAATCTAAGAGCTCTTTCTTACATTTTTCCATTTTAAAAGATCTTTTTTTCGCTTCAATAGTGCCAAATTACTGAACAGTAGTTAAAATTCGAAAGAATGAATGAGTAGTATGCTGTTAACCTACCTAGCCTGTTTAAATATTTATGCATTCGTTTTAGAATATTTAATTATCTTGATGCTTTTTTACTTATTTAAGATATATGATTGTTAAAGTTTAAGTCCGAATCTATAGTTATTCAAAGAAGTTTAACATTTTCTTCACAAAAATTTTTATTTCCATTTAAATTGAATGTCAAATTATGTTTATTTGGTTTTTTTTTCAATGGCTATATCCTGAAATTTGTCAGGATTAGCCTTCTTTAACTTTACCGAAAACCAGTTTATTAGATATTGTATAATATATAATGTATAACCATTATTGTATCTGAGAAAAGTGGCAGATACCAAAGGGATATTCAAAATCAAGTCCAAGATAAACTGAAAAAAAGGCAAAAATCGAGTAAAATTAGATACTGATCAACATTGTGAACACATACATGTTTGTAACCCGGATTTGTTTTTTCTCAATCGATTTATGAATTTCGAACAGCGGTATACTACTGTTGCCTTTATTTACATGTACCCCACTAAAAGCATCGCATCGATTGGAATTCTTAGTATTTCAGTAATTGAGAACGCCTGATGAAGAAAAATACGTACATTGCGTATCTCACATTGAAAAGCTGTGGTTGCCTTTAACACCTTCAAACATATATTGTCTTAAAGTTATAATCTATTGAATACTTGGGTTTTTTTTCATTAGGAATATAGACTGATCCGATTCATTCGTACACATGATAAACATTAAGGAGAATAGCTGAATAATTATGTTTATAAGTCAGCAAGCAGCCTGACTGTATTTTACGGAAGTTTTAAATTTCAAACTGCCATCTCTGCTTGGGCTTACGTATCTTTAATTTTTTTCTATTTTCAAACAATATGACCAAGACGACTGACTTAATTTGATATTACACGTCCCTTTCCATATTTTCTAATATGCAAATCACTCGAGCCCATTGTAGCAGACTTTATTATTAAAGATAACCCGGAAATAGCTAATTGGGGATATTCTTATGGTTTAAACCTTTCCAAATTATACAGAGTGACATTATTACATTTTGTTCGTAATTTGTCAATCATAAAAAATAACAAAAATATTGTGATCCATAAAAACTTTTGGAAAGTTTACCGATAACAAAACCATTAAAATCCGGAAAACAAAACAAAACGAACTTACAATAATATATTCCGTATGTTTCAATAAATTGCTAGCTAAAATATTTTGTTCATTTTAGAAAGAAAGAGAATTCAATTGCAATTCTTAATATAAATTATGATGTTGCTTATAGAAACTGGTATTTTTTTCTTTTTTATCTGATTTATTTTTTTTAATATTTGGTAAACGTTTTTCAAATAAGGTTAATACCTACTTGGCCGATGAATCTTAATTCTGGTTATTAGTTTGTATCATATCATGTACCAAAAGTCCTTTCAATGTGTCATAAAACAAAAACAAATCGACGGGAAAAAAAAATAATCAAAATAAAAACGAAAGTTTTCAAGAAGAATTGGGGGAACTTTTAATCAGAACAAAGGCAGATAGATGTCTTTCGACGAATTGTGAAAAGAGTTTATACACTAAAAATGTGTATGCAATGTTGTAGATATTTTAGCTATATTTGCCTCATTAGCTAATTAATTAAGCGTCAAACACAGAAAGGCAGAGTAAAAATGACTAGGTCGTTATAACTTATCCCAACTAATCAAATTTATTAAAATTCGTTACATTAATTTTGCAGGTTTTCCAGAAGATACCTTAGTGAGCAATTCAAGTATAATCAGCTGTGCAGGCAACACTACAATCAAAATAGTCAATTTGAATGTGGAGCAAAATCCAACATCATGTTCAGAATACAAGCAATGCAATCTGACAAAAGAACAGAAGACCCTCATTAGAATGAGTTGTAATAAAGAAACATCCTGCACTATCTCAACGATTATTCCAGATACATGCCTGTTTAATAATTATGGACACGTATCTATTTTATATTCATGCACAAGTAAATATTGTATTCTATTATTTTAGTTTAACATGTTTAAGGAAATGTGGAGGTTGATAGATTTTACAAAACAATTAAATAAACAGAAAATAAATGAAAGATTTTACAAAATAATGATATGAAGAGACAGCGGGATAAATCAAAAGAAAAGAGACCCTAAACGTAGAGTAATAAACATCAAAATATAACTATTTACTCCTTTACAACTATTTGTTGCAAAACTTTTTAAAACTTTTTCGATATGTTTTAAGTTAACAGTACTGAGTTGAAATAAGCCTACAATAGCTGAACCGGTATGTGACGCTTGCGCTTTTTGATAGAACGTTTCGCTTGTTTTGCCAGGGCTAAGAAACACGAAGAATGTAGTTTCCGTTTATAAATTCTGTAACTATATAAAGCTGATGGAAGAATTTAGGGTGACATTGTATTATTCCATGCATAACATTTCTTCAGGATAACACAAACACTCTAAGTCTAGCTTCAAGTTTGACAAAACAAGGTGAACAAGTTCAAGTTTGTTTTTAATTGTTTCAAATATTTCTACTATTGGATAAAAGTTTGCTCTCAGTAGTCAGCGAGGTTCAATTTTGTTAAAATCAGTTTTAAAAATCAGTGATACTATATAAACGATTTGTAAGTTCAGTCAATTGTATATAGTACACGTTTATCAAAATTTGTAGCAAAAGTTTCAACCAAGTTTGGAGAGTAAATAAAATACGTTTCATGTTAAAGTGAAAGTAGAGTACACGACCTGTGCCAGATTAACTTCAAACAAGGTTTTCGTAGGCTTCAATTGTATGATTGGTTTTCGGTATATTTACATAACTGCCTTTTTACTGTTATTTCAAATGCATGTTAAATGCAAAGGTGCATTAAATAGATCATAATTTGCAAATTCAAGAAACAAGAAATGGAAAAAATGAAAGTTATATACATGTATATATATATATATTCATTGTTTAACTACATTTAATTGAATTATATTTAAAAAAAACAAAATCTATTACAGGAATTGTTAACGGTAGTTGTACTTTCGAAAATGATCTGTGTGGTTGGTCCGTCAGTAGTAGTGGAACTTACCAGTGGAAACATGGACGCGGAAAATCTCCTGAATCTTCTACAGGACCAGACAGGGATCTCACAACTGCAACTGCTAAAGTAACAATGCAGACATTGATTTTAAAAGATCCCACTCCCCCCCCAAAAAAAACATCAAAAATAGAAATAAATATAATTGAACTCTCTTTTAGACGAGCACGCTATCAAGAATTCGACGAAGAGGTTTATATTAACTGTAGACTCAAACCTAAATCAAAATATCTTTAAGAGTTGATAAAACATGATTTAACTGATATGAAAAGACAGCATTTGTTATTTGATAGCATTATATTTTTTTTTCTGTCCATGTTTGTTCTTTTTTCAAGAAATTATCAGAAAGATGCGAACGTGGAAACTTTCTCATACCTTTTTTTTCGTTCTCAGCTTATCAAAGTTCGTTTGTTTATATGAATATTCGTAGACAATTTTTTAGAATTAATTTAAAATCGAATATTAGATAATAAAAGATTTATATTTCTAGAAAAAATAATTATGTTTTACACGTATTTATTCAAGTAAGGTCCGGTAGATGCATTTTCCATAAAAGAAACGCTAAACATAATTTGAACAAGTGTTTTTATTTCCTGCTTTTTCCCCCAGTTTTTTTGTTTTTAATCTTGATTTCCTTTTCCAAATCGTTTTACGAAATTTTAAAAGAAAAAGAAAAGAAAAACATTCGATGAGCTACTGTTGTCTTAGTTTGTACATGTTAACTCGAAAACCCGGAAGCTATCAATATAAAAAAAGAAATATATAAAGGGTTCATTCGTGCATTGATATAATTACAATTTATTTACGACTTTTATTTGTTTACAATAGGATTCGTTTCATTTAACCTAATTCATAACGACTATTCATCGTGATTAAGAATGCTCATGAAGAAACAAACACAATTGCACCACCGTCGATAAAGAGGCACAAGAATTCAAAACTCATAAGTCGATATAAATTGACAACGCCATCATGGTAAAAAACTTAAGAATATAAAAAAAAAAAAAACACAAGTTCACAAAACACCTATATAGGAGACTAATGAGAGGCCCTGCAAGAATATTACTACATAGAAATGAAAAGTTACCAATTGGGAAGTTTAAATCAGCTCTTTTGTCGTAGTGTTTTATTCTCAGCTGACCTTCAATATCAATTTCTAGATATAAGTAAAGATATGATGCAGACTTATATTTAATTAACTGTTGTATCTTGTATTGCAATGCGATAAATGCTTTCAACATAGTCACCAACTTTGAATAATGTAGTGTGAAGATATCAACTATAAAGCGGAACGTGAAGGATAATGCTACCTTCTTTTCGTTCTTCCTAAAAGCTCCTGTATGAAGTCAGCTTTTCAGACTGGGTAACATTAACTAACCAAAAACTAGGAGTGGTCTCAGGTGGAAGGATGAGTAGATCCTGCCCCACTAGTTGTACCCGTCGTGTTACTAACGGTAGGATCAATTCACTGATAAGTCTGATCTAGTCACAATCTAAGAAAGAAATGACGATATTGTAGTTCCGTCAGGAACTTCTCCGCGTCATCTCTAGCAGTGATATTTCATAACTCGTAAAAACGTCCGTAAAACAAATCCTTCCACTTTCAGGAAAGTATAATGAAAAAGATCATACACGAATTTGGACGTTTACAATAACACAGTGCAATCTGAAATATTCAAACGATACGGGAGAAACTTGTAAAGATTATATCGTGATCGCAATTTTTAACTTTCTTATATAATATTTAATTTTGCAGTGATGGTAACATTCCAATCCTTGTATGGTAACTAATATTTTTAGGTGATGGATACTATGCCTAAACGATGTCCGAAACGGGGTCGCAGACAAATGAGGAAAGTGATTTGTTTTCTGGTTTGATAGGTCCGAATCCAAAGCAGTGTTTGACATTTTGGTATCACATGTATGGGGAACAAATCAACACATTGAAAGTATTTCAACTGAATGGTGAACGTACTATTGAACTTTGGAATGAATCAGCAAATCAAGGAAACAAATGGTATTTTCAGTCGCTGTCATTGAATGATACAAGGCCATATCGAATCAAGTATAAAGCCAAACGTGGTAACGGAAGTAAAAGTGAAATCGCTATTGACGATATCTCCATTACCAACACCGAATGCAAGAAAGGTATGACACGTACTTTTCATTAAATACTAACGTACATATTCTAATAATCTTGGTTCATAATTTAACTGTTATGCAAAGGGACATGCTTTGCCAAACGAGTGGAAAGAGCATGGTATATTGTGTTGGATCTCACAACAATTTAATTCCGAAATGCATTACATATTCATAGTAAAAAGTAGTTGTGAAAAAGATGCTAACCATATCATGCATATGAAAATTGGTAACATCCACACGTAAACTTAATTCTTCCATAATGTTTGAAATGACAAGGAACATAGTCTATGGTAGAAAATTAAGAAATACAACTGTTTCAGATATTTTCAACTATGTTACAGTGTTGGTCACTCGCTTGTAAGAAAAGTCTCTCAAAATGCTTGAATGTGGTATAACAATATGGTCAACCTTAACATTTGCTTGCCGGCAGTTAAACATATGCCTTTTTCTAGCGGATCGTTTGATTATACAGGAATGTCAATTTTCAACTTTCAGTCCTTCGTGTCGATATCCTTACTTTGTAGATCTATCCCACATAACTGATTGATTTATTGTTGTTTCATAAACGCCTAGTGGAAAACGTTTCATATATTTCCAGTACGACAATAAATTACCAATCAATGCAATATTTAAGTTCGACACAGTGAATCCACCGATATTTAAGCAAAATGTTTTACTAAAACTGGAAAACGAGGGCAAGTTTTTAGGAACAAAAACAATTCTACCTGCAAATTCATCAAATATGATGTCAATAAGAAACTCCAGCATACTGATCACTTGTTCTTCGGTGTAGCATGTTTTATTGTCGAGCTCCTTTTTAACAAAATATGCAAAATAGTATCCCAAAACAATAAATTTGTAGCGTATGGTACCATTTTTATGAAGAAAGTATAGTGGATTATTTCTGAAAGTCGGGTTTTTAATGTTTCATATGGTAGAGTGGGATAAAGGGTGAAAATATTCGAAGGTGTTATTAAAATTCATTTCAGATAATGAACGAGATTATAAATTTTCCATAGTTCTTTTGGTTTGTTAGGAATCCGCATATGGTTAATGTCAGTACGCGAGCAAACGGTGTCACAGTATTTCTGTAATACCTCTTTCTCTGCGGACAAAATGTTGGCTAATCTAACGCGCAATTCCTTGGTAGAACATGCAGATGACCCGGCAATGTACCGTTGTTTGTACGGAGATTTGTGAAGTTAAGTTGATCTCTAGCATCACTGAAGAGACATTTGATTTGTTGTAATATATTTTCGAAATCATTTTAGATTGAGAAATGTACCTCTCTCATGCATAGCTCTGATTCCTTTTCTGGGAATGGCCTTACATTTTGTTCTTTTCTAAATACCAGCTCTGAAACGTTTGTATTGGTTTTTTTTATATATCTTTTTACCTCTAGCTTCACTGAAGAAACATTTATCTGCATCTAGGGCAGTAAAATTGGTACCGTTAATTTTGTAACTATCCTATGATCATATTCGTTAAAGTTTATAGCATTGATTGTAACTTTGAAAAAGAAACTTGCAATTGGAATGTAGAGCAGGAATCTGAATATATGTGGACTGTTATTTCTGGCGGAATTCATCCTAATGATACCGGACCGGTGGTTGATCATACATACGGATTGTGTAAGTTGTTTATGACATCCTCTTTGCAAGAAAAAAAAACAGTGATGGAAAAAAAATTAAAAAATAAACATTGAACATGTTGAAGGAAAATAGCACTAACTGATTCTGAAATAAAATAATACACCATATAATTTAACAACTGGTATGCAAAAGTTTTATTAACATACGGGATCGCATGGCAAATAAACAAAAACACGTAAACATCGCTCTATAAATTCACCTTTAATACACTTGCTTCGTGATGATGTGTTGGTTGTTAATTGAGGTCAGGATTGGTAAACGTCTGTACTAAAACCCGAGAGTTAAATAGTAAAACACTGATTGATCCACAACCAAAGAAAGAAATATTGTTTGTCGATAATACGTAATGGTTTTGTTATACATGTAAAATACATGCACAATGGACTTAGTTTAGTATATGTATATGCATGCATAGGTTCAATTATTTTCAACATTATAATCAATAGAAACTTGATTCATATGACTTTCAAGTTCTTTCAATGTTTAAACTAAAAAAAGTTTATATAATAAAATCTTAAAACATTTTCGTATAACACTCATTTGTAATCAATCGAATGTATTGTTAAATGTCTTACAAAAAGTCTTCACGATTAAATTTGCTTGTAAAACTGTGTCTTTCATTAAGTTTGTTTCCAATATTTAGTGTTCCAAATAGCGAAATATTGTATATTTACTACTTTTTAATGCGTAATACGGGTAGCTTGACCGCAGTAAAGTATATGTAGAAAAAAACCTCTAAATATTTTTTATGATGGTGTAAAAAAAAGTTTTAGTTCTTACCCTTTTGCAGTGAGATCAATCCTCATCTTTATCTAGTGCTGAACATCGGTATGTTTGATCTAATAACCATGCCCGCGACCAAACACTTATAAGACTATCGTGATGCCTTATCAATAAGGAATAATCCTCTGTGCAGATACCTCAAAGGATAAGATATGATTGTTCAACTGATTATAAATACCACATGTACAATTTATATATAACCATTGTAGTCAGTAAAGAAACATTGCATTGTAGCTGTACAGTTTTGGGATCAGGTGTGGTGTTGCGGACACCCATAAATTAAAACTGCTCAGTAAAGAAATTAAGGTTATGCCTCCTAACATCAACGCCATTGCTGTTAATGAACAAGGTAGTTGTCTATGCGGTATGTGTTTTCTCACTGGTCGAGACCTACGGTTGCCTATAACTGCTTTGGTGGATAGTTGTCTCATTGACAATCATACCACATCTCCTTTTTTATATGAATATCAGCTTTTTAATTCTTTATTTTGCTTACATTACTAAATCAAGTTGTTATATCCAACAGATGATGGAAATTACATATACCTCAACGCATCAAACATAGAGCCAGGACAGAAATCAAATTTTACAAGTGTGACTGTGTCTTCGGAAGGTGATGCCTGTTTTACTTTCTGGTTCCATATGTATGGAGACGGATTGGAAACGTTAAATGTTTACCTTGTATCGGAGACAATGACACAAAAACTGTGGTCCAGGTCAGGAAATAAACCAGATTTATGGCAATTAGCATTCATTGATATTTCAATGTTAGGTACATACCAAATGAAGTTAGAAGGGGTTCGAGGTTCATCGAAAAAAGGTGATATAGCAGTAGATGACATTTCATTGTTGCCCGGGTCGTGTTATAAAAGAGGTATTTTGATTTATATATTTTTTACTTAGCTTGATAAATCAGCGTCGAAGCTGTGTCCACTTTTTTTTTTTTTTTTTTTTTTATTTCAAATACAAAATGTTCATGTATTTAAGATTAGAAATGTGTAAATTGTTGATTATATTGTAGCTAAGATTCTCATCTCGTATATGATAGACGAGATGGTATGTATATGTTAATGAGACAGTTCCCAAACATTTATGTTGTTGTAATATAGTTGCGGTACGAATATTGATTGTGCCTGAAGTGTTCCTTCCATCTTAAGCTTAAGGCATAGAAATATACCGGTTTCCTTTGAAAAGACAATAATGAATCAATTGTTAATACAAGTATACCTTTATATTTGCTTATTATCCAACAGACAGTTCCTATAATAAAGAAGATGTGGTATGATTGCCAATGAGACAACTCTTCACAAGAGATCAAATGACACAGAAATTTACAACTATAGCTCACCATACGGTCTTCAACAATGAGCAAAGCCCATACCTCATAGTCAGCTATAAAAGGCTCCGAAATGACAAATATAAAACAATTCAAACGAGAAAACTAACGGCCTACTTTTTTATGTACAAAATAATGAACGAAAACAAATATGTAACATAGCAAAAAACGACAACCACTGAATTACAGGCTCCTGGCTTGAGACAGACATACATAATGTGGCGGGGTTAAACATGTTAGTGGGCGCCCAACCCTTACCATAATCCTGGGACAGTGGTGCAATAAAACAATACAAGAACTGTACAAAACAATAAACACATTAGATCAACAGCAACAAACACCCAACACTCAATTACAGGCTGTTGACTTGGGACAGGCACATATAGAATGACGCGGGGTTAAACATGTTAGCGGGCGCCCAACCCTCCCCTTAACCTGGGACAGTGGTGTAACAGTACAACATAAGAACAAACTATAAAAATCAGTTGTAAAAAGCTTAACTCATCCGATGGATACAAATAGAAATATGTCTAACAAAAACACAGAGTGCACGTGGCTGGGTACTTGTACATCCCAACAACAAAAAGACACTAAGTACAGATCTGAGAGTACTCGCAGTTACTGACAGCTAGCAAAGCCAATAACAACTAATAAAAAAATCATGCATCTAAGACTAAATTATCAATCAGTACACATCCAACATCCAATGGATTTAGTATAAAGACGTCATAAACAGTCAGAGAAAAACATCACCTTGTGCAATGCCAAGATACAGGTATCGACAGATTCTAGAGCCATGAATGTGCATATGTATATAACAATAATATTTAGTTTGCTTTTAATTTACTGATAACTGATTGTTTTATATCTTATGTCGAAATACCTATTCCTGATTGTATAATATATAAATATGGTTAGTGTGTCCTGTAATGACGCCATAAGCGTTCATAACAACAATGACGGACAAGGAACGTCAATTAAAATGACGGCGTAATTTGTTAAAAAAGTAAAGAATAATTATATTAAAAGGAAATCTGACATTGACTTTATAATATGCAAAGACTTTAACTTTGAACTGTTAGGGAGCTTCGAAGTAATGAAGTTATTTCCGTTAAGGACACAAATGTATCATCTTGCCGGACAGAATAATAAAATGCATTTGTATAATATCATGAATATGTGAAAAATAGATTTTAACATGACCTTTTCGATATGGGTACTGGTATCATCCGTTGATCCATATGAGCCCTCGACTTGCGCTTTGGACTAATGTGTAAGTCTTGGGATAATACCAGTACCGATAGGGAAAAGGACATGTTTTAATTGCATATGAAATGTAGAGTGTTTCTCCCTTTATCGCTATATCAACAACAACCTAACCCTAGCTTCGAACAACGATGAAGTTATCAATTATAACATGCACGTTTTCTACAATTTAAAAATTATTAACACCGATACTTAATTAACATTTGATAGATATCTAGACATTTTGTAATTTTTTAAGGTATATTAATTCGTTCTCACCATATTTTATACATGTACGTTTTTATTACTAATAACACAACTTTTGATAATGGCGATGTACGTGTTGGTCAACTTTTGGTTTTCTATGTATTATATTGTACACATTTTTCTTTTTGTCGTCTTTCATTTTTGGCCATGTATAATGGCAATGTCAGTTTTGATTTGAATAACAAATTAATGTTTTCGTTTTATTGTCCGCTACTGTTGTATCTCAAAAATCTTGCAATCAAAAGAGGTTGTTAATGTGGCCGCAAAAAAGTAGAAAATATACATCAATAGATATAAGAAGATGTGGTATGAGTGCCAATGAGACAACTCTCCACCCAAGTCAAAATCTATAAAAGTAAACCATTATAGGTCAAAGTACGGTCTTCAACACGGAGCCTTGGCTCACACCGAACAGCAAGCTATAAAGGGCCCCAAAAATTACTAGTGTAAAACCATTCAAACGGGAAAGCCAACGGTCTAATCTATATAAAAAACGAGAAACGAGAAACATTTATGAACCACATCAACAAACGACAACTACAGAACATCAGATTCCTGACTTAGGACAGGTGCAAACAATTGCAGCGGCTTTAAACGTTTTAATGGTACCAAACCTTCACCCTTATCTGAAACAATAGTGTAACATCACAACATAGAAAGACACATTATAAAATATCAATTGAAATGGCTTAACTCAATCAAAAGACATATTAACACCAGTGACCATACACTGAACAAATAAATTTGATCTATGATACAATGTAAATACAAAATAAATAAACTAAGGGAAGAATAATTAAAGTAACATGTTATACCGCTGTGAAATGTTAAACAATTTAAGAATAACAATATGCTTGAACAAACATATCAGCCATTTGCAATTACTTTAAACACAGGTAAATGAAAATAATTTTGTTGTTAGGTATACGTGTACAGTTCAAATGGAGAAAGGAAATATTTTTACAAAATAAAAAAATTTGATGTTCATAGTACGAAGAAGTGAAAATTTATAGTTATACCAAACACTTATCAAAGCTGGTATATAGACCAGATATAACCCTGAATAAGTAAACATTGAATAAAAAAAGCATTACAATTAGTATCAATAGGTCAAATAAACTAGAAAGTACGATTTGAGAGTACTCGCAGTTACTGACAGCTAGTTAAAAGTCAAAAAACAATTAATAATAAAAAATCATGCATCAGAGACTAAAATCAACTAAAACACATCCCAGGGATTTAGTATTTTAACGTCATGGACAGTCAAAGAAGACATGACTTGTGCAATGCCAAAAATAAATGTATCGACAGGCAGTAGGATAGTTTGGAGTTAACCTCTTTATAGATCAAATTGTACGTGGGTGTGTCTTTATACATCCCGTTTCAAAAGAATAAAAATTTAGTTATGTTTTAATTTGCTGATGACAAAATCGATTAGTGCCAATGCAAACTATATTCAAAGATCTATTTACAACATTGGTAAGATAACCTTTACTAATAAGTTTGTTAAAAGGTTCGATGAGTTTACACGGATCACATAGTGATTACCGCGCTTTCAGTACAATGTTATCATAAAATTTAGGATGTGAAATACCGTTTTTAAAATAAGTTTTCTACAGGTACAGCCCAATTTGCTAATCAAATCTTTGTATCTATGAAAGAATTTAGTAAAAGTTTTACGTAATTTATGGTAACGAAATCCCTGACTTAATAATTTACCAGTGATGCATTGATTACGTTCGTTAAAATCTATGACATCACTACACACACGGGCATAACGAACGAGTTGGGATATACAAACACCGTATGAAGGAGCCAAAGAAACATCGCCGTCTAAAAAAGGAAAATTAACATTAGGGAATGAAAAGTCGTCTCTCTTGTCGTAAATTTTAGTATGGAGTTTTTTTTTTAGAATGAAATGTCCAAATCAGAAAATGACAACTACTGCTGTTAATGTTAGATTTAAGATTGAATTAAAAAAAAATGATGAAAAAATATCTGTACATACAATTGAATTTCGTTGTCTATGAAATACATTTTTTCACCTTGTCAAATGAGCCACAATCCTTGTTATCAAAGAAGTCTCTCCCATTTTTATATGAAGTCGAATTAGAATCAGTGTCTGTTCATTTTGGGGATTTAAATGTTTGCAACCTGTACCTTTAAATAAATACAATAGCTAGTGTTCTCTGTGGAGTTCACTTAATAGGAAAATTAAAATTCTTCTTGAAAAGCCATTTATACCAAAAAAAATAAACTTCTGATGAAACTGCTTAACCAATGATAAAAATTAAAATGACATTGTCTGAACAAGAGATGATAAATACAACTCCAATTCCATAAAAAGAAACTAATTTTAAATGTATTTAGTCAGTACAGAAGAATAGTTATTTTGTCAAAGTATTATATTATAAGATTGTAGATGATTTTGGTCTAAATAGATAATATTGCAAATAAATTATATTATAAACTTTGGTGTTACAGTGATAAAACTTAAAGCTGACATAGTAATGCCAACAACACTACCCTCGTACAATCTAGTAATCCAATAAAAACAGACTATATGTAAAACTAAAGCGGAAATAATTTGTTGATTGAATAATCACAACATCACATGCAGTTTTGTGTTTCATAATTCAGTATGGGAACATGCATGTTCATCACTAGGAGCTTGTTTTTTTACATTCAAATAATCAAGGAAAAGGTTGGTTTTTCGAGGAGAAATTAAAAATTTCCATTTAAAGAACTCAACAGAGAAAAATAGATATTGTATTTTATCGATGATACAGTTCATGTTGATAGAATTTAAATGACCAAGTAAAGAGGTACTGATTCTGGTGAAAGGTTTTATTGCCTTTGCAATAAGTTTAATTTTCACAATTTCACATGCAGTAATAAACAAAAACATTTCACTGCCTTGCAATTTATCGTCACTCGGAAAACAGTGGTGACTATATGTACCTTATTAGTTTAGATTATAATTGTTAATTTCGACTTTTTCACATAATGTCGGCAATCTAGTTTTCAAACAAATCTCAAGAAAAAAAAATTATTTAAAAACAGAAATTTTCTTGATGTCTTTATGTTGACATTTAAACGTTTTTTACCTCTTGTCATTACTCGTTACCGCTTACTTACTAAGTTTACTAGTTATTAAATAACTGCATTTCCAAAATCGAAAAATCTAAATATACAATGACTTCAAAATGCATTAGAAAAGTAAGTGTTCTTGTTATTATACATTTTATTCAGTTTTGTTATTATACATTTTATTCAGTTAAAAGATTTCAATTTCAAGATTTCAAGATGGAGGGAAAATAAAGTTCTCTTGGTTTGACATATATTTTGTATATTATGTAGGTTGCACTTTGTAAATACAGCTGTTTCAAAACCCACGCCTCTTTTTCATAGATATTTTGTTTTGTTTGCCTACTGGTTCCCAGATATGATCTCATTATTTCATCTCGTAGAACCATAACTTGGGAATGTTACCAGTAAATATACACATGCATAGCAGTCAAATTGAAATCTGTGGAAGACCCAAAGTGAAGGGAGGGGTAGTACAGAATTTTAGTATAAGTTTAAACTTTTCAAAGTTCGGGGCATATAAATGTTGAAAATATGCCGCACAGCCCTATATTTTGACCTTTGAAAAAAATAATAGTGTATATGAGCTTTCCATTCTAGGATATAATTTTTTACGAAACTTCATAAAAGTGGTACAGTTTTAGCAGTAAAAGGAGTTCCTATGGGAAATTGCATTGTCTATATTTACATAATTGCAACCTATAGAATTTTTCATTGTTCTTGTCTAAACAATCTATATGCTATACAACATGTATTATCATCCTAAAGGACTCTTCTATCCTGTCGCGTTTTTAAATCATTATATTTCTCGCTGAATAACATTTTACAGATATCTTTCAATATAAATAATCTATCATAAAACTGTTACTTTGAAAATCACAAGCAGGCTTTTGAAAGTGTGTTCTTACGTCAAATTCATTTTTTCAATTTTAGAATTGCAACATAGCAATCAAAGATCATTCTTCCAGGTTTCTTGCAACTGAAATGTCTACGGCAGTTCTGAGAAACCGTTTGTCGAAACTTTTCACAACCTAAGGACATACTTACCTTTTGTCTGTAGTTCATCATAAAGTTATGAATTTTGAGATATTGTAGATTCGGGGGAGATGGAGAAATGTGTTAAGATATAAATTCCGGAGGACTAAAAAGGGATGGTGGAGTCTACTATATATTTACCAAGACAGAAATTGTGCTACCATATTTGCATAACAATGATGTTTATATATTATCTTTATTGGGTAAAGTTTTGTTTCATATCAAGTTGGCCAGGAGATGTGTATAAAATTGTCAATTCAGATAAAAAGCTGGATTGTTATTATCAATCTATTTTGGCAATCAGATATACATATTTTAGGGAAATCAATTGCTTTTTTTATTGTATAATGAAATAAAAGTTGAAGGAAAGCGTATGCTCTTTTATTACGTTTTACGATATATCCCTTAAAATAGTAACTGAATATCTAGATTTGATGCTGTCATGATGTTGAAGGTTTTTCAGGGTCCAATTCTTCCCTTTATCATGAATGCTGTATTAAACTATCGAGCAAATTCAACAATTATATTTTAGCTTTCTTCTTAGACTGTAACTTTGAATCAGAAAAATGTAATTGGTTGGCAAGTTTTAACACGACATACATTTGGACAACAAATAAAACAGGGGACAGTACGAAGAGACCGAATAATGATCACACCATTGGAACTGGTATGGGTTTACATTATATTATTAACTAATAATTAACTACATATCACAATTTTTCATGTTTTTGTAGTTTGATAATTCAATTCTGGTAAATTTTAAGTCAAGCGACTGTTATCTTACTGAAGACTACAACAAACTTTATTGTTGACTTTAATCAACTGTATTTGAATAATAGTTATGACGTAAATTGATATGGATTCAACGAAACACGTCCTGGTTGGTATTTTAAATATTACCTATGAATATTTTAACAACCCTTAAAAAGCCTGATTTTGAGAAAATTTTCAATTTATAAATGATATGTATTCACATCAATTAATTCTCTCTAACGTCAACGTCAATGATGATGATCGTTTACTGTATAGTTGATGATATTATAAATTCTCAAATTACTCTTCATACCAAAAGGAATGGGATATATTCCCCTTATATTTATTATTCAACAGAGTCAAAATCTAAAAGTTGAGAAATTCGACAGGAGTGCTATCAATAAAAAGAGAATATCATATGGCTTTTTCATTATCAATTCGAGTCATCTTCTTGAGGGATTATAATTGTTGAGGGTGGATACGGTGTGTAACATTGAAAAACCCATATCATATTCACTTTCTCATATACGTCAAGTAGATGTTCTCACATTATATGATGTAGTGCAGATTTTTAGGGATTTGATAAATAAAGGCAACAGTAGTATACCGCTGTTCGAAATTCATAAATCGATTGAGAAATAAACAAATCCGGGTTACAAACTAAAACTGAGGGAAACACATCAAATATAAGAGGAGAACTACGACACAACAGAAACACAACATTAAAATGTAACACACACAGAAACGAACTATAATATAACAATGGTCATTTTCCTGACTTGGTACAGGACATTTTAAGAAAAAAATGGTGGGTTGAACCTGGTTTTGTGGCTAGCCAAACCTCCGCTTTTATGGCAATGTTAAATATAACATTAAAATTACAACATTACATGACAGGACTACAATACAAATAAATGGGAGAACATATAGGACAGAGAAACATACGAATAATAGCTAACAAAAGGTACCAGGTTTAAAATTTAATACGCAAGACGCGCGTTCTTCCACACAAGACTAACCAGTGATAAAGCCTTTGCAACCGTGAGTGATATCGATGACGCGACGTCATACAGTTTAGGACTGTGATAAAGCTTCTGTAATTGTGAATCATATCAATAATATCCCGTCTTGCTGATACAGCACGATTGGTCGTATTACACGAACAATTTACCTGTATTTCTTATTGAATATGTAATAAAAAAAACACACTTTAACATATTTTCATTATGCCATTCAGTGCTCATCGTGGTGTTAAGGGTATATTAATACATTTTGATCATTAGTATCCTTAAGACAATGTACATGTTAATGTAAATTTAAACCTTTACCTCAACAGGAATTTTACTCTGATTAAGAGTGTCATTTTTCGTGATCTGTTAAATATACTGAGTATTTTCTTAATTTTCAGTTTTTAACTATATTAAAGCATTTTTGAATTGTTCATCTGTTAAAAAAAAGCCATACTATATTTACAACCTCAAATTGCACACACGGAGCTTTGTACATCTACGTAAGGATTGTTAGGGTTTGGAAATGTCTCTTATGTGAACTGAATTCAGGTTGATTTTTAGGAAGTTCGTCTTACCTTTATATGATTCACGGCAAGACTTTTTTCTACTTATTATTTCCAATTTGTTCGACAATCGCATGTTTTTAGTAACTTTGCAGTATAAAATGAATCAAATCTTTTTGATTATCTAGCAAAACTAACTGTAGAGACAGGATTTCTCTACAAGACTTGAATAACGAGGGTATATAAAAAACCCATAACGATGTTTGTGGTATTTATAAAGCAATGCAATCAGTTGAAAAATAGTCCTTTAAGTATGTATTAGGGTTTAATTAACTTTGATTAAGGTTTAAATTGTAGTTTTTGTTTACCCTAATGTGTCTATTTTTTAGAGTTTTTTCCTGCACTTTGTCTATAGTTGGTGCACATCTTCCAACAAGTATAGCCTCTGATTTTAAAGTGATAAAACTCTCGAAGATACCGGTTTTAAAAAATGATACGAAGTCTGCTTGCCAATTGGACATGCATCTTGCAGATTCCAAACGACATCGAAATATAGATCCCCTTACAGAGGGCAAAATCAATACCGTATAGTCGGGTATAAAAGGACCCAAAATTACAAAATATGAAACATGTTTCAAACGGGAAAAACAACAGCTTAATTCATGAATAAAAAAAACCATTGACTACGAACGTGTACATTAAAAATGAAGTGGTTTTACACATAGTAGTAATAGTTGTATCCGCCCCTTACCTAGGGACACTGGTACAAAGCACTACTTTAGAACACATCACTTTGAAATTGCTCGACTCATCAGATTAACACGACGCAGGAAAAAAAACTTACAAACAACCAAAATCCCTGTAAGAGAACTCAAAGTTACTGAAAGCTAGTAGACTATAAGAACTAATGAATAAATCATGTTCACATAGACTATCAATATAAAATGATACATCAAGCTTATAAAGTTGCAGGTGCGTTCGATTCCAATCTTAGTTTACTAGGATTGTCATTTTACCTACCGAAGGTCGGTGGTTCTCCCTTGTGCACTCCGGCTTCCTCCACCAATACAAAATGACCACCAATAAATAGCACAACAGTGTTGATAGTGGCTTTAAACAGCAATCAATAAATCAATATAATATACGTACTTTTGTCGAGTGTCGAAGACAGCATATTGCCTATTCAATGTCTGCTAATGTTTCCTGTCGTATGGTTGATATGTCATGGAAATATGTTCCATATATCCCTGTACTTATGCATCTTGTTAAAAATCTTCCCTAATAAATGTCTCTTTGTTTTTCATTACATAGGCAGGCAGTGAGTATACATAGTCAGATGCTGTTGTCAATGAATTTTGATTTTAATCTCTAATTTTCATTCCATTTATTTCTTATATTTTTCTTTTTCGTTCCAAAAGTTGATGGACATTACATCTACCTTCAAGCTGAAGGTTCAAAAATGTCTGGTATGAAGTCTAAATTGACCAGTACCATTATCAACCCTGATGGTGATATTTGTTTGACTTTCTGATATCATATGTATAGACAACACACAGATACATTAAGTGTTTACACAGAATCAGGAAACACCATTCAGATGCGTTGGTCACAGAACGGAAATAACACAAACCAGTGGAAATTCGTTAATTTTACCATTTCTAAATCAGAACCGTACAGTATTATATTTGAAGGGGTTCGAGGCGAAGGTTATTGGAGTAATATAGCAATAGATGATATTTCACTACTTGAGAGCTCGTGTTCAGGTAAGAAAGGGGGAATGCCGAAAATATTTTAGTTCGGCATGTTGTGTAATTTACTATCCAAATACTTAAATTTTTTTTAAAAAACATAGTTTTTAGAAGAAAGAAATATCATTGTATATGCTCATATAGTGTTGAGTATACGTCTACTCCTTATGAGGGGGTTATTGTGATCTTCTCCTCCGTTCGTGTGTCTGTCCGTGCTATAAACATTTTGTAACATAGACGCCTGAATTTCACGAATTGCATAAAGATATGTAGGCCTGAATTGCGCTGTTTTCATATATTATACATAGAGCCATTAAAACTTTCGGCTTCAATAGATTGGTTCGTTCGTAGGATTGGAATAAAAAATTTAATAAAATCTGGTAAAATTTTTAATTGAGTAGTCGAGAGAATATTTTAAAGTGTTATAAACAAAATTTAAATGACATTTTACATGCAGTTATAACACCATTTTACCTCTTTGGACAAGGCATGATAGTTTATCGCAAATTTAACAATGTCCTTGGACCACAAAAAAAGAAAAGAGATCAAGGTCATGTTCTAAATTTTGACCTTTGCTTACTATCGCTACTCCTTAAAAACCATATAGAACATCGACAAAATATTTGTACAAAATTGTTAGCTGTTGTAACATATAAATTGGGTTAAAAGGGTACGATGACATTGTAAGGAGATTTCTCCCCTTTAATGTTAAAAAATGTTAAAAATTAACTGAAGGTTGATATAATTTATTATTCATATACAGAAAGGATCTAGGGATTTTTTTATTTTAGTTCCCTAATTTATGAACTTGAAATTAAGGTCAAGTTCAAAGTATAATTTGAGATAAGATTTCATCATGGCTCTATCTTCTTCTTTGCACATCATAAAATCATAGGGTTTTTTTTACATTTGGTTGCCAAAATTAGACCTGTATGAAGTCAAGTGACTTTTGTGAACCGGAAGTCTTATGTTAAGCACGAATTTTATGTAAAAGTTCCTGGAATGAAATACTATTTTAAGTCGATAACCCTAATAATTCAGTCCCTTCCCGTAATGATCTCTACTACGTGAGGACCTGGAGTCGTAACACACTAAACAGTCCTTACGAGTCCTTGATTTAAATTGCTGCCCTTTGGGGAGGTAACCAATCAGCAATCAGATATATTTTATCAAGATAGGTTAACTCCTTGCTTACTCCGAATAATTGATTCACGATTTTTCATTGTCAATGCATTCAGGCGTTAATCTAACAATCTTGTAATGGAAGAGCAGCTAGATATAACGACTGAATTATTCTTATAAGGAATAAGAGTAAAGTTACGTTATGTTTGAAACCGGAAGTGAAATTTTGTAAATCGGAAGAGGCAACTGCTATGCATTATTTCAAGCAGAAATATATAGAAACCATATATATTTGGAATCAGTATAAAGTACGCAATATTTTACACCATAAGTGACTCAGAGTATTCTTTTAGTAGCTGATGAAATTTTAATTTCATCGAAAAGATACAATAAACAATATATCATAGGAATCAATGAACAATAAGCTACATTCTGACGGCGAAATTACATTTTGAAAATTTAATATTCGAAGCTAACGATGGTGCATTTGAGGTGGAAAGACCTTCAATTTTTCCATGACAAATTGGTTTTGTATTATAATTATTACCATTATTATTATTAGTAGTAGAAGTAGTAGTAGTAGTAGTAGTAGTTGTTGTTGTAGTAATGTTATATTGTATGCAAGTTAAACTGTTTAATTGTAAGGTCTAGTATTTGTAGGTTTGATCAAAACTTCACAGAAATGTCACAACATTGATGAATCTATATCGCTTCATGAATGTTCAAAATATTATCTAAAACTTAATGACACATCTTTAGTATTTGATCGAGAATTTGACAACTGCTCAACCGTATATCAACATGCCCAAACATCAATTACAACTATATGTAACGATACGAAGAATTCTGACATCTGCACCTTTTATCTTCCGGAATTAATTAAGGAAGACAAACGATGTTTCCAATCAAACTGGCTTTCGGTCGAGTACATATGTGAAGGTAATTTTTCAGAGACAATAACATTCTAATTGTTTTGATATGTATGAGGAGAATAAAATCAAAGTTGAAGAAGTATAGAATATCTTTTTGTATACTATATTATAGCAATAAATGAAAACTTTTTATAAATTTCATACACCCAAAGGGCTTCTCTTGATTTACCTAGTGTGATATCTAATGAACGGAGTCAATAGAAAATTCACTCTTTTTATGAAAAAGTCGAAAAAATCAATAACAAAACAATGCCGGTGACGATACTGATCAAAAGATATTTCTAAACAACAATTGTACATTTTTAAGAAATTATTTGTTAAACTGTTTTATAAGAAATATACATGTAATTACACGATGTTTTATGATCAGTATTAATCGATATAATTGCATTTGAAGCATGTGAAACTGAAATCTGAAAAAAATGTTAATCTTTGCTGCATATTGAAAAAAAAATCGAAAAATTCATGTACATAAAAAATCTAAAGATTTTTCGGGTCACACATTTTCATTGTGGTCCAACAAGTCCTTAGCATGTTATATTTCCCCAAAATATACTTATTTTTCACATTTAAGTTTTCGAGTAAACCGGTCTGCTCTTGCTACGTGAACAGTCAATCTAGAAGTATTGTTTTTGCGTGAATATAACATTATCAAAGTCTATCTGTGCAGGTTTAAAAATTAAAGATAAATATTTCAATCAAGTAGGTATCTTTTTACTATTTTTTAAACAATTTTAAGAAAAGTTAGTCTCGATTTTTATACATGTATTAGCGGTCTTCCCGATCTATTCACACACAGGGGTGTTAATGCAGTATCAGCGTTGACGACGTAAATAATTTTTATGGGCTACAAATTTAAGAAGGTAAAAACCCTAGATACTTTCTATGTTTACGTTCTGTTTTTGTCGTTTGGCTCATGTCCGTTGTACAGGTGTTCATTTTCATCATGTTCCTGGTAAAAGCCTCGGAGGCCGAGTGGTCTAAGTAGTCCAACTACTAAATCACTACCATGCAATACTGAGGTTACGAGTTCTAACCCCGCACTAAAGTTCGACTCCAATCTCAATTGACTAGGATTGTTAGTTTTCCTGGTTCTCTCCAGGCACTCCGTCTTCTCCGAACAAGATAAATTGGCCGCCACTAAAAGGCCAAAAGTATTGAAAGTGAGGTCAAATTCCAATAATTCAACCAATTAACCATTTTAGTGGTTCAGCGATTGCTTAAAAAATTGAATGTCTTTATATTTATCATGTGATTTCGTTCAGTTGTTTTAATTTATAGGACAACTATAGTTGGTATATAAAATAATACGTGTTCGTCAGATAAGATTCATTAGAACTTTCCTTGTTCAAGAATTAGGAAACAACGTTACATTTAATGGTTAGATCCAGGTACAGATACTATAAGAATTATTATATTTGGTGTGAAACAATATTTGTTGAGTTGTTATTCTGGTAGGGCTCGAACTTCTTTTAAACTGAGTTTTAATATGCGTATTGCTGTGTGTTTGTTTATTCTACATTGGCTTAAGGTATAAGGGAGGGTTGAGATCTCACAAAACATGTTTAACCCCGCTGCATTTTTGCGCCTGTCCCAAGTCAGGAGCCTCTGGCCTTTGTTAGCATTGTCTGTATTTTAATTTTAGTTCATTTATATGTTTTGGAGTTTCGTGTGACGTCCATTTTCATTGAACTAGTACACATTTTGTTTAGGGGCCAGCTGAAGCCCGCCTCCGGTTGCGGGATATTCTCGCTGTGTTGAAGACCCATTGTGGCCTTCTGTTGTTTTCTGCTCTTTGGTCGGGTTGTTGTCTTTTTGACACATTCCCTATTTCCATTCTCAATTTTATTTATATGGCCTTGATCTCAATTTTATATTACTTGGGTCAACGTTAATATTTCGTGGTTAAAACGTTTCTTAGAACCATACGAAAAAAAGTCGATTATATTCGATATAGTGTATATTTCCAAATTGCAGAGTTCATCCGACATTGACCCTTTTTTCGTCGTTCATTGGTCAACTTCAAGTTTTCGTGATTTTGTGCGTTTCGCAGAAATTAGTAGCAATAGGTTGACTATATATTTGGTGTATCAAACGACTGTAAGATGTACGTGTAGGGTTCATCTGACCTGATCCTCATTTGCCTGTATTATTGGTCAATGTCAGAGTTTTGTGACACTGCCTTGTCTACTATCAATCAAAGAGAGGCGGATGATACCAAAGATACATTTGACATCAATTGGTCACTTATTTTTTAGTGAATGGAAAAATTGTTAAATGTTTACGGCTGTCTCGCAGTATTACCTGACCTTGTCCTCATTTTGATGATTAATTGATTAACGTCAAGGTTTCGTGATTAGACATATTTCTCATATACTATTACGTCCAGCAGACTGTGTTCATCTTGACCTCTTATAATGAATCAACGATCAACTTTCTGTTTCCTTGTTATGTCCGTTTCTCGGATACACATAATAAGTAACCTACATTTGGGTTATGGAATGATTGGAAGGTATACATGACCGTCTTACGTTGTCCTATTTCCATAGTTTATTGATAATGTAAAGTTCATGTAGTATGTGTAATAAAACTCTGAAATCAACGATTTTTAAACGTATACTTCAATACTAATCAGTAGGAAAGCGAGACATGTGAGCGTGAGCGCATCTAGTTTTCATATATTTGTTGGTCGTTATGTAGAGATTTATTATACTGTTCGTGTTGCTCAACCTCTGGTTTTCTGTATTGTTGTTTGTCTGTTGATCTTTTTCTTTTTTAACCATGGCGTTGTCGGTTTATTTTCGACTTATGAGTTTGAATGTTCTTTTGGTATCTTTCGCCTCTCTTTTACTGAAATAACCATAAACTTTAAGTGTTTTTGTTTTCAGCTGAGGTACCTTCTACAGTTTCGTCAGTTGCTACATCCAATAAAGGTTCTAGTGAAGGTAGGACTGAACGCATAGCATCAAAAGTAGCAAAAATGGTGTTCTTTTCATTTAATGACTTTATTATGTGAGATGTACTAAACAGTTGATTTTGACTTCCAATATGACCACTTTATTTTGTTAAGATTGAGTAAAACTTAAATTCTATGCTGACTTATCTTTTCCATTTCTAAAAAAAAAGTACAGTTACAGCTTAACCTTCAAAAGAAGATTGAAATGAAGCTTGTATTTATCTTTAACTTTATGGTCTGTACTTGTTACATACATTTGATAAATGCTGTCTCGTGAAAATTTTCCAAAGTACATAGAATATGTTGAACGCTTTTATACCATCGAATAGAAAGAAGGACACTACAGATACAGTTGTTAAGTCTAATTCAAATCTTGACTCAAATAACAAAATTGAGGGTTGGCTGAAAACTTACGACAATACAGATGTCAGTAGTTTTCCAGTTGTAAACTTTCCATCTCTACATAGTAAAATTCCAGCAGCCCTTGCACTTTTATTTATATATATTTTATATAGAGCTGAAGTTTCCCTTTTTGATCTGTTCATTGTTTTCCTCATAGTGTTGGTATTTTTTTTACTTATGATTTTTTTAAATAATTAACATTTTCATATTATTTTTTTTTCAAATGAACCCTTACCAAGGGAGATATAAATTCCAAAGAACTCACACTGTCAAATTTCTGCTTATAGGAAATACTCTCATGATAGCATATATCATCTATTATAAATAAACATATCATTGATACAAGGATTAAAGTTTTGTACGCCAGACGCACGTTTCGTCTACAAAAGACTCATCAGTGACGTTCAAATCAAAAAAGGGAAAAAGGCCAAATGAAGTGCGTAGTTGAAGAGCCTTGAGGACCAAAAATTCCGAAAGGTTTTTCCAAACAAAGTTGAGGTGATCTATTCCTGGGGTAGAAAATCTTTTGTTATTCTTTTTTTTAAAAACTCACATTTTTGTATTTATAATTATGACCATATCAATAATATTTCATGTCAACACAGAAGTTGGAAAAACAGTAAAATTTAATATAAAATGTTATTCATTCCTTCCATCTTCACCTATATTGCATGTACTACGAAAATTGTTATATTCAGTCTTCTAAAGAAAGTAAAACATGATGACAATCGAAAATTATTTTACATATGATAAGTATCCATCAATAGCAACGATTATCAATATTAAGATTGTTTCATAGATTGTAGCAGTTTGCATTGTCTTACACACAACAAACAAACCGAACTAGGTAAGACTTCACATTTCATTATGAACCTATTTCAATTTGAACTTAAAGTATGATGAAAATTTCGTTTAAACATTCCAATCTATGTAATAGTGTAGCTATACAATTAGTGAGAATTTCATCATGTATTCAATTTCAGCTGAGGAAACTACTACAGTTGCATCAGATACTACCTCAAGAGACGATTCAATAGCACGTAGGTCTTAATACAAGAAGAATTTAAATGATCCTCCTTTCATTAAAATGCTCATATTATTTCAGGTATAGCATGAACAACAATAAGATGACTTGTGTCTTGACAAACCACAATAATATGAGCGTTTGCTCCCAGTATTTTTTCTGACTAAATAGAGTTGATATCGAATTGTACCATAACTGTTTTCTTCCAATTGTGCAGTAAAGTTATTGTAGCTACATGACGAAACACATTGTTATAAGAATATTAAATTTTAGATATCATACAGTTTCAACTTACTACACGTGCAGTTTTCATCAGTTACTGCATATTATTCTTTCATTTATTTCACTTCCCAAAAAGTCACAAGTTTCATTAATCGGTTTAACAATTATATTCCATTAATTGGTTTGAAGAATAAGAAGAAAAAAGTGAATAACGGTACATTATCTGTTCATTTTTATTTGCATTGTTCTTTTGAAGTAACCGTTAATGAAGTCACAGTGAAATACAAGAATTGCTATTTTAACTTAAAATGGTGGATTTATCTCTTTGCCAAAATGAGATTTTAATCCCAATGATATAAATGGGAAGTAACGAAGTACGTGCTTTTCAAAAAAACAAATGGATTTCTGTCTAAATCCTTTTCAATAAGCAGATCAATAATACAAAAATGTCCTAAGGCCTCTTATATATGATACAAGCAGAACCAATGGCGTGTGCCACTCGCTCATATGTTGAAAAATACGATAGTACTGTGAAAATACTTTTATTTGTGGGGTACAAATTTTCGTGGTTTTCGTGGATGGCTTCAAGGAAAATTCAAAACGGAATGTCCTTTATCAAATGACAAAATCAAAAGCTCAAACACATCAAACGAATGGAAAACAACTGTCATATTCCTGACTTGGTACCGGCATTTAAGTGACATGTCTATGGCCCAACTAACACCTTTGATGATCGTTAAACTGTTGATCATTCGATGTGGGGTTAATTAGTGTCATCACTTCTGATTACACGTGTGCTACAATATTCTGGAAAGCAGTTATTTTATTGAAAATTTGACGAATGATGTCGGTAATTTAAGACAAACAAGTAAGTGAAAATGAATACCTGATTTTGCAATATCCCACAAATTATTATGGAACAACATATGATTATTTTCAAGAACTTTCGTTTTTGAAAAATACTTTTATTCTTGGGTATCAGTTTTCGAGCAAAAGTTACATGTTCGTGGATTCTTAAATTCGTAAGTTTTAGTTTTCTGAAAAGAATCGTGTGAAGAAAATAAAGCCATCAGAAACAAAGATTCTTACAAGTTATCATATGGACGAGGGGACATAGGGTATGTTACTATCTTTAAATAAAAAAATGATAATTTGAAAATTGAAATCATTACGTTTGTCCTAGATTCGTGTTTGAAGTCGTATATCTGTGTCAATATCGAGGAAAAGATCAAGATATGAATCAGACCTACTTTCGGTAGTGCATTTAATCTCAAGTTCACTGTGAACAATGAGATGTGAGCAATCTTTGAAAGAGACGTTTTGAGTGACAGGACATCATCAATATATCTGTAAGAGAAATTACAAAAATTTTATGCTTTTTCTTTTTCTTTTTGTGTTTGAGTGGTTTATGTATGAATTCTGCTCAATATTCGTACAAATAAAAATATAAAACAAAACAGCCATTAGTTGAGCACAGTCATACCCATTAGAATACCGACTGTCTGCTGAACTATCAATCGACAAAACTCAACAAATGTATTGTCAATAAGAAATTCAGAATTTTGATGATATCATCTTTGGTGTTTTAGTTCGAAAGTGGTTTTTCATGAAGCAAGAATATGTTTATGAATTTTTATTACGGTTTCCATGATTGTAGACAAAGTCTAAATCAAAGAGAAAGCACTAATTTCGAATAGACAACCTTAACCGTTTGTAGTTTATGGTTGTGTATATATCTATATGACATAAAGTGTCGATGTCAATATCTAATAATTGTTAACGACCGGATAATTAAATAACATAAGATTCATACTGTGTTGTTAATTCTAAGACTAGAACAGATTTGCACTTTAAGAAATAACAAGATTCAAGGTGTTTAGAGTATTAATTGGAAATGGAACCATGTTTTTATGTAGAATGTTAAATAATGGGAGTATTTATTTTACCCATTAATAATGTCCCTGGTAAATGGCATATGTGACAAAAGCAGGGACACCTTTGTCAGCTGCCCTGTACTGCTTAGGGTTTATGTTTTCAAAGTGATTGAAAATAAAAGATGTTGTTCATGTGAAAAAAAAAACATCTTATAATAGCACTAGCATCGGTTTTGCCTTTGGAAAATATAAGATGGAAAATTATTGAAATACTACAAAACCATACATCAATTGTAGGTACAACTTCAATATTATCACAAAATACCGAAAGACAAGTATGTTATGTCCTGATTGCTTTTTTGTTTGTCATGTATAAGCTGACATAAAAGAAATATACAATTAAAATTAGTGCACAGTCTTGAGCAATGTCTAGTACAAGACCTGACGAAATCCAACGCAGAAAACTAAACGAAAAAATAGTATTGCTTCAAACTTTTACAAACATGTTTAAATAATTAAAGAGATGTTTATCCCCAAGAATTCAAGACGCAGTCATTTAAAACCAGCTGTACAATTGTAATCTTTATCACTCATTATAACATGTATAATACGATAAGATAAAGGATCCTTAGATTTTTCTACCTTTTAAAGGTTTTGATTTATATGCTTTTAAAAGTTTACATCCTGAACGTCTGTGATGAAGGCTTTTACTTCAACACGTGTCATGTGCATTCAACTTGGTATCATACTTTATTTGACATTTCTATAACTATTTTACCTCGTTTAAAATTCCCCAACAGCATATATACCTCTATAAAATATATAAAGATCAGACCGATTATTCAAGATAATTTATCCGTTGCAAATAAATTTTAGAAAACGATAATCGAAGGATATTTTCAAAAAGTCAAATAAAATTTTATACTTTCCCCAATCTACGACTATGAATGTGATATTAAACAGCTTTTCAGCAATAATATGTTTAACTAAACCGTTTATCTAAAATTGCAGAAACAACAGTTCCTTTCCTGTTAACATCAAAAGCTCAATCGCAAGGTATGATGTTCAAAATATAAACAATTTACGAATTGTATAAAGCCAAAATGTACATATACAAATATTCTTTTTATTACTCATTACATTTTAAGCGTATCTGACCATACCGCTATATCATCAGTGCCATCACTTGGCATCCGTCGTCAATCCTCTAAATCTATTTAATCAAATTCTACCAAACTTGGGGTTAATGATTCTTTATAGAGTCTCCCGTATTAGTGGAGTGACATATTCCATCAAATTTCATTTTAGTGCTCCCTCCTTACACAAGGCTACAAAATATATTATTCGATAACCATTTATTTAAACTGTCTGGTTTGCCCCGTCGTACAAGAATGGGGTACGGTGTAATTTCTATTAAACAAAGAACAAAGGTCAAGGAAAAACAATTTCTTACTTTTCAAAATTATATCATATTCTATCAGAGTAATAATACAATAATACATGAAAATAAGGCAAACCTTTAAAAGTGATCTTGACAAATTTACTAACGAGGTTCCTGACTTTTGAAATGTACATATGTAGGGGTTCAACTAAGTTTTTTACATCTCAACCCTATCCTTTTCAATCTCTATCCGTTTGCTTCGTGTATCTGAACTGAACTTGCTGTCATAAAATAATGTGCAATTACAATCATCACAAGAAAATAGGTATTTCTAAAAATAAAGGTATTATATTTTAAAATGTACAAAAGCATTATTTATTCCGTATAAATAAAAACCTACAAGTTACTGAACGCAGTTGCAAAGTACGGTACCTGCAGATAAGACAGCATGCCGTCCTTCCAATTCATAGAAGATTTGAAACAGCGACGTCATAAACCATGCGAAAAAACAAATTGTGCGCATTGTCTAAACAAACTCTGAAGAACTGCCGAAAACTAAAAGAAAAATTGTAGTATTGATTCAAACTTTAAATAATCAAATATATATTTATATTCCAAAAAATTCCAGATGCAGTAATTTATTAGCAACTGTAAAATAGTAACCTTTATCCATTAGTATAATACGATAACGAGAGAAAGTTTTTAATATTTTTCTTCAATAGGTTTACATCTCGAACGTTATCTGTGAAATGAAAAAGGCTTTTCCTGAATCACGTGACATGTTCATTCAACTTGGTATCATACTCTTTTTCTCTAGCAAAGTATAGAACATGTATAAGAGACAAAATATATTATTTCAGAAAATATCTCACTTGCAAATAAATCTTAGAAGGCAATCGTCTACAGAGGAGTATCTCCAAAAAGATTAACCAAAATGAGATATGTTTACCATCAAAAACTCTTTAAACGTAATAATCAACTGCATTTCAACAATATCATGCTTAATATCGAACTGTCTATTTCAAGTTGCAGAAACAACAGATCCTTTACTATCGACATCAGAAGCCGTATCGCAAGGTATGATGTACAAAATATACACAATTTTAGAAATTTATAAAGCCAAAATGTACATATCCATATATCTATATTATCACTCATTACACTTGTATTTCAACTGACCATTACGTCTCACGAGCTGTAGTAACTACTTGGCGTCCGTCGTCAACGTCGTATGTTGTTGTCGTCGTAAATTTTTACAAAGATCTCTTCTCCTCAAAAACTACTTAACATACAAGATCTACAAAAATTCTAAAAAGACCCAAAACTCTAGAATGATCCATTGAGGAATTATTGCTCTTAGATAACAATGTTTGGCAATTTTTGTGCTTTTGCCAATAATCAAGAAAAGTACAATAGATATGAAGAAACTGTAAATAGCAAAAATGATCAACTAAACAGGATTTACAAAACGTCATATTACTTAAACGTTGAATGACTCCTTTCTGCAGGTGTTTGTCAGTATTTAAACTTAAAATTTAGCATTTAAATGC